GGTGCTTCTGGGAGGGAGCGGCAATCGCTGCCGAGTATGGCCACGCTGCGCCGTGCAGCTCAGGCCCTAGTCCACGCTGCAGAGGGAGCGGTGCGTAGATGTCCTTGCTGCAGCCCTGCGTCTAGGTGGGACAGCCTCCTTCCAGAAAGCAGCCGCACGCTCGGAGGTGACCTGTGGACAGGAGTGTAAGGCAGTGAAGCTGGCTTTTCGGTCTCCCGAGGCTGCGCCTAGATGGTGACACCAGTACCTGCACTTGGGCTGTGGCGGAGGCAGAGCCGCGGCGGCCCTCCCCTGCATGCCCCTTCCTTTTCTTCCCCAAGCTCCTTCCGCCTTCTCTTGGGCCCAAAGGTGGGATGAGGGGCAGGCCACAAGAGAAGGGCTCGGAATTTGAGTGTCCGTGCCGGGACAGCTACAACCGTAGGCCGTGAGGGTCTGAGGTTCGAGCGCCTGGACAAGGGCTGTGGCTTAGTTGAATTCGAAGTGAGAGGACCCGATGGCCATGCTGTGTCCTTGCCACCGTTGGAAGAACCGAGGGGGCGAACCCAGACGCCTGCCGGGACCTTTGGAGCGTACTTCACCTGAAGTTGGGGGCCGTGTGTGTTTTGGTAATGGTAGTAGACTTGTTAATTTGGTTATGTTCTTTTTTAGGTCCAATCTCATTTGAACAATAAAAGAATTAGATTATAAGATTAAAATACAAATGTCAGGAGCCTTAATTAGATGGTAAGAGGCACGAGAGGACTTCCGAGGTGATGGGAATGTTCTGTCTTGGCAGGAGTCAGGCTCAGGGCTACAGTTCGTTGAATATAAATGTAGGCTTAGTAAATAAACAACATTGCTGGTCCTCTTCTACCTATAACCAGGTGGGAAACACAGGGAAGCAAAAACCCCATTTACAGGGACCACCACGAAAACAATTAGGAGTGACTTCAGAATTGTGCAATAAGCCCGAGAGGACTGCCTCTAGATTTTCCCGAAAAACACCAGGGCGGGCATAAGCACGTGGGGAGATGCACCCGCCCTTGGCCAGGGCAATTCAGTGCCCGAGGATGCCAGTTCTCTGTGAGCTAATTTACAGAATGGAATCTCAATAAAAATACCAACAAAGTCTTTTTATTTTCCAGAGCTAGTCACACTGCTCTTAAAGTTCATGTCTCATAAAGTTCTTGGCAATAGACACGGAAGAATAATTAGGAAAATACTGGGAGACGGAATGGCCTTAACAGAGTTTGAAATATGATTAAAAAAACCTTTCTCCTTAAAGCAGTGTTGCTGGCCTTGGGTGGACAAGGTCACTAGAGGACCAGACTAGAATGAAATCTGGTGTGTGATAAAAGTCTCCAAGTGCTGGAATGTGCTTGAACAGATCATATTGAGACTCTGGATGGCCATTAGAAGATGACAGTGGATCCTTACCTCACACCATAGAATTGAGCTTGAGCTGAAGGGAGAGGTGAAGGGGCAGAGTGAGGCTCCAGTCCCCAAGGGCCCAGACGGGGGGCTCTACAGGTATGCTCTGGGGAGGAGACTGAGGAAGGTGGGTGGACGGGGTAGCATGCCACGTCCCTAGCCTGAGTCACCCTGACAGGGCTGGGGCGCTAGATAGAGGTGTCCTGGGAGCTTGCAGGCTACCCATCAGAAGACTATATGCAGAACAAGGCTCATGGGAGGCCTGTGTGCGAGCACAGCTCTCTCGCCCTCGCCACCAGATGGGAATCAGCATGCACCTGCGGGGGGGTGGGGGGGTCAGAGGGGGCATGCTACTGGCAGCTCGGCACTATTGGTGGAGATGGACAGGCCTGGGGACACTGGAGGGCATGCCTCAGACCGCTGTCTCGGCCACGCTTGTCTCCCTCCTTAGTGTTTCTCTTTGCATGATCAGCGTCAGAGCAATTCTAGAAACATAGGGAACCCCGACATCTCACGGTGCTCCAGGGTGGTGGCTGGCTGTTTCACACGGAGTCCCCGGTCTGGCTCTGACACACGCCTGCAAACACGGGAACGTGCTCCCTGGGTGCTTGGTCTTGTGAACAACTCGGCTTTTCCCAGATCCAACGAATCTTCAGCTGATCCTCAGGCCTTCGGGCACTGTAACCGCAGGCCTGTGGGGCCCTGGCCTTGCTGGGGTCTCTGGAGCGTGGAGAGCAGCCAGTGGTGATCTCACTCAGCTCACTGGGACAAGCCGCTAGGAAATGCCGCTGCCTGCGTCGCCGAGCTCATAGGAGAGGAGCAGCCACCCAGACTGCTCGATCTCGTGAAGCTCAGCTCTGCTTCGAGCAGCGCCCAGCAGCCGGCTTTGGTGAGGCTGGGTGGTGGGAGGTGAGCCGGCAGAGCGCTCCCCTCCCACGACCGTCTTTCTTGCCCCTCGACCAGCTGTAGCAGGGCTCCCGACTGCCCTGGGCCTGCTTCAGGCCTAAGCCCAGCACTGTGGCCAAGGGCAGGTTCCGCTTCGAGCGTGGATTGGCAGGAATGACCACCAAGCTCAGAGGGCTTTTTGCATTTTTTAAAGGTTTGTTATAAACAGCAAAAAAGGAGAATTTGCAACAGAAAGTAGCAGTTACCTGCAAAGCCTTAAATATTTATCTTCTGGGGCCAGAGGGTGGCCTGGTGGTTAAAGCTCTAGGCTCCCCACATGGCTGACCACAGTTCAAGTCCCAGACCTGGTGGCTTGCTTTCTCACTTTTCCTCTTTTTGTCTCTCTGGTGAGCACACATGCCTTATAGCAAAAATAATAAAGAATTCTTTTTTAAAATTATCATCTGTTCTTTAAGACAAAGTGCAGCATGTAGTCTAGTCTGTTGACTCCAAATGCAGTAATAATCCAAGGCGTGGACATTTTCGAAGAACATTTCCTGTGGACTAACAGACTAGAGTGGGCTCTCACCCTGGACCGGCCTTTGGTGCAGGAGCGGTGCCTGCCGTGGGGCGCCCCTCGGTGTAGGGTGGAGGACCTCCGCCCCACCGACTCTGTCAGTGATCGGGTCCGCTGGCCACACCTGATTTCCGGCTGTTGCTGAGATGACTCAGCAGAGACCAATGGGTTTTGATGCGAGTCTCAGGCCGGCCTCAGCAGCGGGCGCCGAGGTGGCTGCATCTGTAGCTCTGTCTCAGGGTTGCTTAGACCACCAGCTGCTGTTCCTGCCCAGAGCCACCATCCGTTCAGTCTTCACAGCCACGTCTGGGTGCACTTGTCCCTGAAAGGGACCCTTAGCAGTCAACAAGGTAGCTCAAGCCCCTGAGCCTATTTGGGTGTTAAGAGTGACAAAAAGAAAAAAGGCGACCTCTTCTCTTTAACAGGAGTGGCTCCGAGCAGGTAAGGATGTCGCATGGCTGTCACAGCCCCGGACCTTCTCAGGGCTCCATGTGCCGTGCACGTGTGCTCCTGAGCGGGGTGTGGCAGGGGCCGATTCCGGAGCACTGGCATAATGAGATGTTGACACAGTCCAGGACATTTGCTAGGTTTCCAAGCGGAGCTCAGTGAGATTCAGGGGGTCACTTGACCCTCCTACTCCAAGGAGTCAGCAGGGATTTCAGTGCCCACCCAACGACTGAGAGGCTGCGGGAGCACTGGGGCCGACGATGGCGGGCAGGGCCCACCGCAGGCTCTCGGCAGCCTCTGCTTGGGCGACCCTCACCTCCCCGGCGCGGGCTCTGGTGGCATCTTGCTGGCTCATGCTTGCCCGGCCACCGTGGCCTGCAGAGACTGCTCAGTGAAGATGATACCTCGCGTTTCTGGACCCCTGAGGGAGGGGCTGCCCGAGGCCCTTGCAGGCCTTAGCCGAGGGGTGTTGAGAAGTACCGTTGAAACCAGCGGTGGAACAGGCCACTGGCCCACGGTTGTCCCTGAGTGCTAAAGGTGAGCACCGCCCAGTAGGATTTCAGCGGCTTTTGGAGCACTTGGACCAGACTGACCCCCAGTATGGGAGGCCTGATTCTGGGAGAACTTGGGGGTGTTATCCAAGATAACCCCAAACTTGCCTCACGTGGGGGAGGTGGACCTGGTTTTTCTAAGACATTCCTGAGGAGACATTTCCAGTTCCTTTCTTGGCTGCCCACACTTCGTAGGGTCTGTGTCATCTCGTTCAAGAACGTCTCACAAAGCAGGATGCAAGACCCAGGACTCTAAGGGTTGGGGGGTGCAGAGGCTCCGTAGCCCCAGGAATGCGGCGTGCGTGTTGGGAGTCTGCGAACAGTCAGAGCCGGGTGCATGTGAACATACCTTCTGGAGACCAGGTCTGTAATTTTGATTGAACGTCAAGGTCTTACAACCAAATAACTTCCAGAACCACTGCCCTAGACAGGCCGACAGCAGTTCAGGACACACAGCGCTGCCACCACAGCCCCTGTGTGACTCCTGCCGTCCTTGCTCCACCAGTCCCCAGTCCACCCTCCTTTGCCACCTGTCCATGTCCACCTCCCGTCTCTAGGTCCAGATGTCCATGGCCTGGAAGGGCAGGCCTGTCCTGTGCGGCCCGGCGGGATCCGCCCCAGGCTGGGCTTCCTCAGAGGGAAGGCTATCTCCAGGCCACGGGGCGAAGGTTGCGCTAGCAGGCCGGGCGGTGGGGGGCTGCGCGCCCCTGACCTCCAGGGCTGTGTTTCCTCTTTTGCAGATTGCCCGGCCACTCGATGGGGAGCGTCAGCGCAGCAGCTGTCGGTGCCGCCTCCAAACCTCTCTGTAGCAAGAGCCATAACCGCAGCACCTCTTCAGTAAAGATGATGAAACTGGTATTAACTGAGTGGCAATTATGGATTTGTAACTCTCACTCCCAGTAAGCGGCAGCCATATGGTTCAAAGCCAACCCCGAGTCGCTGTTCTGCTGAATGTCCCGCACGGCCGGGAGAGGTTGTGAGCCCTATTTGTGCAAAGAGGAATGTAAGTCTTACTGGCCCAAGGAGCGCAGCCGAAGCGGAAAGAGAAGACGTCTTAACTTATCATTCACGATATACGATAGTATTATTTATATAGATAGGATAAATATAAATATATTTTTTTGGTGGTAATGAAAATGGCTCCGCAGAATGCCGACTCAGAATCTATGCAAGTTCAAGAGTTACCTGTGCCCCTGCCGGACCTGCAGAAGCCCGGAGCCTCAGAGGCCGAGACCCGCGATGAGACCATCAGTGAGGGGTCCATAGACCGGATCCCCACACGCCTGTGGGTGATGCACGGGGCGGTGATGTTTGGCAGGGAGTTCTGTTACGCCATGGAGACGGCCTTGGTCACGCCCATACTGTTGCAGATTGGTAAGTGCCACTCCCGGTCCGTGCGTGCTTGGCGCTGGCGGGGAGCCTCGGGCGAGCCGGGCCCAGCGCACGCAGTAGGTGGGGGACCGGTGCCCTCTAGAGCCTGGGTAGGGGCCTCGTCTTCCCTCCCTCGGCCTACCTGGTGGTTTCTCCTCCCACTCTGCCAGGGTTGGTGGGGGCCATCCTCGGGTGCGCACCTGGAATCGCAGGTTTTGACGATGTGGCATTGGGTCTTGGGCCAGAGCCGGAGTCGCGAGTGCTCGCGTGCAACATGCAGCCCCTTCCCCGTGGTCCCCGCCACACTGTGACGTGCCCTGGAGTGGAGGGCGTAGTCAGTAGCCCTGATGACCATGGGCTGTGCCGTGGGGCGACGGCCGAGCAGCCCTGGGGTACCAGGCGTGCCCAGGGCAGGCCTCCGAGGGGATGCTGACGATGCTGTCTCATCATCCTCCTCGTGTTCGGCCTACCCAGGCGCACCGTGTACTTGAGGTGGCTGAGTGGCAGGTGTTCGCAGCTGTGTTGGGACTCAGAGCTGCGGAGATTGGCAGGGCCGAGCCAAGTAGGAGCGGGACGCTGTCAGAGTGTCTCGTGCTCCCTGTCTGAGGAAGTTTCAACGTCTAGTTTCCAGCTCTCCAGCCCTATGAGATCTGAGGGGAGGAGTCAAGCCGTTTAAAACAGCAGATTTATTCTAGAATCCCAGGTAGACGTAGTAAAATACTTTTTGAAGAATTAGTTTAATTTATTTATTATTTTAATTTTGCTCATCCTGTGCACTCACGAGAGGGGGTGAGGGTGAGAAAGCAAGCCGCCACATCTGGGACTTGAACCACAGTCAGCCTTGTGCGAGTCCAGCATCCTAACCACCACACTACCTGCTAACCCTGGTAAAAGTATTTTTTAAATTGCCAGAGGGCACATGCATGGCCAGAGACAGAGATACAGAGAAAGGAAGATGTCCCTCTTCCCTTCCGCATTTCTCCATCCTGTCAGGATTTGGGGTGTGCTCGCACACATGCCCAGCATGTTTCTCAAGCCCCTAGGGCCAGGATTCGAACCATGGTTGGCCACAGCCCAGGCAGCCTCAGCCTCAGCAGCGCATTCAACATCACCGTAGGCTGAACAAGGTTTGGACGTAGCGCTGGGGCTCAGTTATTTTGGAATCACGGTGACTGCTGTGGCCACCCCAGGTCTGAGTGCGTTCGTGGAGAAGTGCATACTGCTGCGTGTGTGTTTCGGTAGTGTGTGTTGACGTGCTGTCCGCTTTGGAATCTCGGGCACTTCACTGTTGGACTTTCAGATTTCGTGTGCTTAGAAGGCTTCCAAGAGGGCCTGGGGGCCTGGGACACAGACGGGGTTAAGGGCCCTTTCTGGGGGGCTGGGATCAGACAGGTCACTCTTCTGTGCTTTGCCGTGTCTGTCACCCTGCATGTGTTCTGCTCACATCCCAGGGTGCCTGCTGTAGGCTGGGCCCGGGTAGATGGGATGCCACCTCTGCTCCTGCAGCGTAGCTCAGCGGAAGGGACGGCAAGACTGACCTGACCAATGAGTGACACAAGGGAAGGAAACACCGGCCCTCCTGCAGGGCAAGCGGGGAGAGGGGACCCTGTAGCCTTGCCTTGGTGTGTTCTTGCAAGTGGGAGGCACCTTGTGACCAAACCCCAGGGTGGTAGAGCAGTTCTTTTTATGGAGAGCTGTTTTGTCCATCGATGTGTGAGACAACAGAGGTGTTGTGAGGCCAGGTGGTTAAAATGGGAAGTCAGGCACCATCCTGCAGTTGCTGGTCCACTTCTTAGGGCATGTTGACGAACGGCATGCAGAACGCTGGCCACTGCGAAGTAAGTTGCAGGGGTAGATAGACACGTGCGAGCTATTGCTCCCGAGTTTTCTCCGTATGTTATGCCTCTGAAAACCCTCACACACAGCTCCTTGGAATTTTCACACCCTGCGGGTCGGGAGTCTCAATTTCCATACCACTTTGAGCATGTCGCATTGGTTTGGGGTAACGTGTTACAGGAGACTTGCATAGGTTGCAGGTAGTCTAGGAAGAGAAACATCCTACTGTCTGGCATATGCGCTCTGTATAAAGGTAGCTCTTCAGAGTGTAGGTGTGACATCCTATACGGAACTCCAGAAACCATGGCTGCAGGTGGGAGGACTGCAGGTGATAGGTAGGCTGTGGTGACCTGAGGGCTGAAAGGAGCCCTCCTTGGTCCCAGACGTCCTACGTGCGTGTGAAACTGCTCTGCCCAGCTGCCGATCAGCAGGCGGGCAGGACGTGGGAATAGGTGTGCTTCTAGGTTAAGGGGATGGTACTCAGTGAGTTGGCTCTTAAACGTGCCAGGATTGAATCGAGACGACAGAAGACTGTCATTCCTCAGGTGCAACTTCACATTATTCGGGCGACAGATTGAGCGGTTTCCTCTGATTTGAGTCTGAGTTTGCTCAAGAAGCCGTCTGCCATGCCCACCGCATGCTGTTTCACGGAACGTGGACGTAATACTCTCCCACTCTAAGCTGACGGTTTGACCAGCTGGGTAGACGGCCACGCTAGGTAACCGCACCCTAGTTAAGACCCAGAATAGCTTCATTACTGTAGAAGGCTCCCACGTGCTCCCTGGCGCCCTTCACTCCAGCCACCGCCAGACTCCTCCGTCGTCATCACGTTGGCCACCCTGGGCTAGGTAAATGGACTCACAGCGGACAACCTGGCGTCTCGCACGCGAGGCAGTCATGGGCGGCCTGTTACTTCAGAACCCCACAGGTGGCTGCTCCGCTCCTCTTTCATGCTGACTAGCTTTCCACCGAGTAGACATACCGCCGCTTGTTCGTCAGTTGGTAGGTTTCTGGCTTACTTCCTTCTTGGAGGCTGTCGTAAACAAAGCTGCTGCGAACACCCGCCAGACGTCTTTGTGCGGGTGTGTCTCCTTTCTCAGGAGTACACACGTAGGAGTGGATTGTTAAGTCATGGTGGGAAATGTTGGTTTACTTGGAGAAGAAAAGACCAGACCTTTCCAGAGCGATCATACGATTGTGCGTCCCCATCAGCAGTTGGTGTTTTCGTCCCTCCACATCCCTGCCAACACGTGGTGTTACCAGTCTTTTCCATTTCAGCCCCTGAAGTGGGCACGTATATATCTTCTTGTGATTTTAACTTGCCTCTCGGCCAGTAATCGCGTCAGTCATCTCTTCACGTGCTTATTGGGCATTCATGTATTTTAGATGACGCTTTTTGCCGACGTTCAGAT